AAAAACATTCCACTCAAGAGCCATAACAAGGAGAGGACACTATGATCCTTGAGGCATCAGATTAACAAACAAGAAACTAGTATCTCCAATAAACAAACTTTTACCTCTTCTGTCCCTAAACTAAGCTTGATATGTTCACCTGTAAAAAAACAAAATAGATACTGTATGTAAGACAGCATTATTTAATCATTTAATTTCTTGAAATCCATAAGATACTAATTAAAACTGGTACTGACTTTAAACACATTACATGTATTTATGATGCAGTCATATTCCGTAACTACCAGTGTTCTCACAAAAATTTATAGCTCTTTTAAGGGAAAATAAAAAAAACCTCACCATCATAATAAAACTTGACATCATCAGGTAAAGGTTCATATGGAGGTGGAAAATATGGTCCCTGGATAAGAAGAGAAGAGGTTTAAAGATATATGTTCTGTGCCAGATTGACAGAGCATTATAACAAAAACATGGCCATAATAATAATAATAATAATATTGCACTTGTGGAAACAGCTTAGATTTGCAAAATATACTTACATTGTAGTGTATCATCATGGCTCAGTTATCTCAGTGTAAGCAGTATGCTACCCCTTATCCCCTGTTCTCTCTCTCTTTTTTCCCTGCACTTTTCACAGATAACTCGGCCAAAAGTAAAATAATGAGTTTTTCAAAGAGCAATACATGTACGTCATACCTTGTGCTCCATGTGCAGCCATTTTACGCCTTCTGGGAGTTGTTCCTCCTCCCACCTTAAGGATCAATGTAAAATAATACTTTACATCACAATACCCTATCCCATTTCGATTTATTGTAATTTTATTTTTATATTTCCTCGTAGTAGTGCTTTAGTTAGGAGCTTGTGAATAAAGTCTGTTATAGATGTTGCAACATGATATTATATGTAAATGTAACTATACAGTTGCAACATTGACTGTAACATTCTGCCACATTTCCCAGATGATCCAGGCAAGTTCGAGATCGAGAGCAGTCTCCCATTCAGAGGGGGGCATTGAGGGCTTCCAAACACTACACAAACACAACTTTAGAACAATTGTCAATGTCATACAAGCTTTTATTTGCCCAGCTGAATGTAACATGTTCTTTTTGATTTTCAGCAAAACAAAAAGTCTGCGAGCGCATCATCGTTAACTTACCATTTCCAAACTTCCTTTTCCTCTTCTTTCTTCTTTTTTCCCTTTTCCTTTGTAGCAATAATAAAACATCAGATGAGTCAAGACCACGATAATAATTATTAACAACTTATTGTGCAGTCATTGTAATTAGACCAAATGGATGATCAACCCGATGTTCAGACATGTTATATTTTTCATCCCTCAATGTGGAATCACATCACATTTACAAGTTTCCAGTATCCTTGAAGGGGTTCACCATGCAATCACTTAACATGCAGCCCTATGAAACTCTACTTGCATGCACATGTACATGCATAGCTACAATTAATTATTTACCTCTTTTTCAGACTTTTCTTCCTTGGGTTTCTTTTTAGCTGACCCACTTGTTTTCTCTTTCTTTGCTGGTTTAGAACTTTTCTTGGCAGTCTTGGCCTGAAATGAAGCATTATAATATAATTATATTTAGCATGATCCATGGATTGTACTTTACAGACTGTACCTTGATATCACTGCACCATACAGTGGAACCTTCATGTAACCTAGGGCCAAGGGACCTAATAACGAAATACATGTAAAGTACTTTTCAAGGCCCTAAACCGAATCAAAAACTTTTCAAGACAACTACTAGAATTCAAGACCTTTCCAAGATTGTACCAACCATGCAAGGGAAAGTGTGACGCTGTTGTCATTGATTAAAACGGGGATCATAAAATGAAATTCTGTACATTCAATCTTTATTTACCACGTACACTCCACACTAGCTCTTATGTATAGAATTTATCTTACCAATGGTTTACCGTCTTCATCGCTGTCACTTTCATTGCTTGCACTCTTCTTTCTCTTGCGCTGGTGAAGGAGAACATTTGTTATAAAAGTGTTTAAAGTAGTACATGTACAATATTTTGTTAATGACATGTTTGTTGGTTTTTAATAATTATTTTTCTGGCCCCAAATAGGGGAGTATCCTCCTTTATATGACCATTAAGAAACAAAAAAAGCACATAAAAACAAAAAATTACACACCGAGGCTGCAGCATCTTTCTTCTGACCAGATGACCCACTAGATGTTGGTTTTACTTGCTTCTTGTTTGCGGGGGTCTTGTTAACTCTGGGAATAAATCAAATGTTTGTACAGCTTGGTTAGCCAAACATCAGCTTATCCTCCCTACCCTCCGACCCCCTCCCCACCTCGGTGCCACACCAGATGAAATGATCATGATAGCATATGACTTTTCCCTGGCAGTGTTTGTCACAGATAAATAAAAAAACATGGTTAATCTGAATTTCAGAATGCCGCCTTCCTATAGTGCCTTCTTCTGATATGCTTTTTTTGATGAACAGTGCTCATTTTTATTCATTTTTTTTAAAACACTTAATAAGTTCTTTTGCCCCTTCAAAGTCAAAAATAAATTAAATGTATTAGATTTAGAGACAAATACATACCTAGCAGACTGTCATAGTCATCCACAGAAACAATATGAAAGTAAAAACCAAAATCAATATCATTAGATTTTAATAAACTCAAGCATTTTCTGGAAGATGAAGTGGTAAAATTCGATAGCTAATACCCACAGGCCAATGCACAGCAGCAGGCCAGCTGAAAACCTGCAAGTAAAGAGCTCTGAAACCTCGAAAGTAGTGTCCCTTATGCTTGTTGTAAGGGATCTCTTTGGATCAATTAGGCCTCAGGTGCTTCAAAAGTAGCTTCTTTAACCCTTATCCAATGGAAAGCAATGTATCTGTGAATGCTAAGGTCTACATTGTGTAGTGGATAACGATATACAATCTTGAAATGCTAAGGACTAGTAAACCTGAAAATTCAGAAGTCTATTCTCACCAAAGGTTGGTCATCATCATCACTGTCTGCTGTCTTCTTTGAAGGCTTTCCTCCTTCTGACTTTTTTTCCTTCTTCACTGAATCATGCTTTTTTGCAACATCTGCTGCCTTCTTCTCCTTCTTTTTCTCCAGTTTAAGAGGTTTTCCATTTTTCACCTTTTCGTGCTGATCAGATTTGACCACTTTTTTCATTTCATCCACTGAACTGTTCAATGCTGATTTAGCTGGTTTGGGTGTGGCAACTTTCTTCTCAGTTTTAATCTTATCCGCCTCTGCCTGCCTGTAACATGTTCAATAATGCAAAGTGTTAAAAATTATAAAACATTTCTTGAAAAAAGAGGACATCATATCATCCACTGCAATGTCAAAAACAATAGTCAGAGTGTGTTGAATCACAGTGGCATAAGTGTCCAGTAAATTAACTGTCTGGAGAAAAGGCTCTTTTCAACTTTGATTAAGAAAACTATATAATTATATGGTATAAGCGATAAGGAATAATACAACATACTTACTTTATTTGGGCCCTGGCAGCCTAAAAGAGAACATGAGATTAATCAGCTCACATTGTTTTACAAAACCTAAGGATCTTGTAATAGCTCACTTATGAATTCTAAGAGAATCAAATATAGCGAAGAACTAGGGAGAGAGTGGACTTGTTCTATGTTTTTTATGTAAAATTTATTAAAAATAATCCAGAGCTGTCATTAAGAGGCAGGGGCCGGGGGTTTCCTACGGCTACTATAAACGTGGTCCCCAGCTACTTTGAAAGGAAAATAGAAGAAAAATAAAAGCAAAAGAAACCCCTAGCTGTTTGGTTCCCTGACTACTAGTTGTATTTACCCAGCAACATAACATCTCAGTGACAACCGTGATAATCAGATCCACCTGTTCAGACTTTGTTATCTAAATAAAATAACTTACCAAGGGGACGTCATCATCATCATCACTCTCAGCATGGCCTGATGTATGGTGTGATTGTTTTACCTGAAAAAGGGTAGAATCAACAAATAAATTGATGACTACCAGGACAATCTGTGGCTACACTGTACTCTAGAGTGGGATTTCTGAGGCAGGAATACATTGATACAGTGGCATGTACAGTTTAAAGTATCTGCTTTGCTGTGGTTAATAAAAAGTTCAAACTTTTTTAAACATAAGGAGGTCGAGAATGCCTGAATCGCTAAATTTAATGCCCTTTTTTCATACTTGGCTACAGTAGTGACCTCCTTACTGCTAAGGCAATTGTTGCCCTCCTTTCATTCTAATAATATTGACTGATGTAATCCTGTTAGGGGACTGATGCTTTCTTACACTTCCGAAGCCTGAGGAAACAGTGGCCATTTTGCGACACCACAACTGGTTTCCCTGCAAAATTATGTTTGAGAAAGAGCAGAGAAATTCCATACTAATGATGGTCACTACCCAGATCTGGGTAGTGATACTGTTACATGTAGGTCATCAGTATGGAATTTCTGCAGTCTTCCCTCAGGTGTCATTTCATGGGGATCATACCAGTGGTGCTATTGCAAAATGTTGGCTGTTTCTCAGGCTTACACTTTTTTGGTTCTGCATTTATAGGGCCATAGCATAATAGGTTTCCATGCTGTACAATGCAGTTTTTATTTTGAATTTTCTTCTGTTTGGCTGAGTACAGAGCAAAATAAAAATTACAAAACTCACTGGTGATATAGCTTCCTTTTTAATGGCAGTATTATGGGGGTGGTGGCTTTTGTCCAAAGGAGATTTCTTCACAGGTGATTTTGTTGAATCACGCTTCAATGCAGAATTGGAGTGAAGTTTGATGCTTGCATTCAGCTTCATGGGTTTTGATGAACTGAACAAAATATATGTAGAAGCAGAATTAAGAATTCAAAATTGGACAATTATTAGATTGCTCAGAACACATTCAATGATGCTACTTATAAGTTATTTACATAATACCAGCAGATACTCTGTCAAAGTCTTAAGCAATATTGGAGAAGCAATTATAGTGATTGTTTATCGACCCAAAACCCCAATTTTGGAAAAAAGAGTAGTCTTTTATATCATTAGGTAGAACAATTGCTGATCACTTTCTTTTTTTTGAGAGAGAGAAGGGGTGATTAACAGAAATTTATCTATTTCTTTCAAGATGTTCTCAAAAATTAGCTTCACGCTAGACAATTTCAAGTGAAACTTGGTGGTAAAGGGGTTGCTTATCTGCTAGTATTTATGGTATTATCTCTTAAATTCTTGATCACTTAAAGATGTAGTTCATTAATGCTTTAGAAGCCCTACTCCCTCTCCTCCCTCCTTGTAAATTGCCTTATAAGGCAATAGTAAAATATCCAACTCTATTGCCCACACTTAGGCCTGGTTCAGACGCCATACTTTTCATGTGCCGAACCTAACTGAATAAGTTCGACTTTGGAGTGACACTGGCGCAACATCTGATTCAGATGGCGTACCGTGTGTCGAACCTAAGTTAAGTTCGACAAAAGTTTGACAGACTCTGTCGAACTGAACGCTTTTGCCGCACCAAACTAAAACTGCCGAACCAAATTGATTCAGACGCCGCTCTTTTGCCGTATTTAATTCATCAGTTAGGTTCAGCACACGAGCGGCATCTGAACCCGGCCATAATCTATCATAATGTCCAACAATTTACGTCAATGTGCTAATTAAATTAAATGTGTCTTTCTGAGGCACAGTCTAACACTGGCAACAAGGGATGAAGACAGTGTATGGTTTTAACATGTAGATAATAATAATAGATAATAATAATAATAATAATAATAATAATAATAATGGAGGAATTGAAGGGAAAAAATGCACAAACCCTACTATCTCAGACAAAAATAGTTGGGACACTTCCACCTAACGCTGTTTTTTTGGCTTCTGGCCAGTCTCCTCGTCCTCCCAATGTTGTTTATCGCAGTTAACTCACCAAATCTTGCACACCAACATTGGGAGGGCAAGAAGACAGCAAAGTGTCCCAACAATTTCGACTGACACTGTAGCTACCAACAATGTAGAGATCATCATTATACCAGTTGAGTTCATCCTGAAATGACTAAAAGCTGTTACCCTCAATAATTTGTGGATACTGTTGTGTTTATGAATAGTTTGAAGAAAATGAATAAACCCTAGCGAACTCCACCTACGTACTGGCCGTACACAATTTTATGCGTGAAATATTTTCTCAATGGGCCATTATTATTACTGTAAAAAGTCCCCTTCATCTTTAGGGACAAAAAAAGAAAGTCCTTTCCCACCCCCAGACAGCAGCCAATTGTCAACCTGGAATCTCATTCTCATTGTTCTACAGAAAACATGGCCCGTTTCACCAAACAGATTTATTCATTTGAGCTCACCTTTTTACGTCCTTCTTAAGGCAAAAGCAAATCCAGAGGTGTACAAATGTAGATCGAATCAACATGAAGGAAAAATGAAAAGTGAGTGAATACGGATGTTACAAAACCGTCTAAAAATGAAAATTAGAAAGAATCGTAACTTTTGAAAATGTCGGAACAACGAAGATTCAAGGAGATGACGGTAAAGAATCGGGGTCGGTGAGTGAAACTATTAAAAGATAACTTACTTGCGAAGATTCCAGCTTGATTTTTTTCTTGTCGGGTCCTACACAAAAAGTTACAGAAATCAAGATGACCTTATCGTGTTTTTTCTAGTTGGGAACTCAATGGCATAAAATGAAACAACTTGTACCGTTGTTCGTTTCATGGAAATCCGACAAGAAAAGTAAAATCTTCTGTTATAGTGTCTTCATGGGTAAACGGATAAAATGTGATAGCATTTCGCAGATTTTCACAACTCAGACAAGACGATTTATGAAAATAAGCTAAAGTTTGAGTAAACTGATCTGAGCGACAACGAACGCAGCGGAAACAATTGAGCCTGTTAATGTAGTACCGATCACCAAAATGGACATGAAATCGACATCTTTTGATTTACACCAGCCTTTGAATCCCATAAGACTTGCAAATTCAGGTTAAAAATTCTGTCTTTTTCTCCGCCGATTTCTCTCTTTTAAGCTGAATCCCAAAGCTGATGATGGCATTTTGATAGGCAAAGATTCTAAAACTTCCTATTGAAATGGGCAGAGGCAGATTGCTGGCATGCCAAGCAAAGGAGTTAGACTAAACCGCTTACATGTGCTCCCGTGAATAAACGAAAATTTATCAAGAGACTATTCAACACATCAAGATACTTTTCCAGGTTTTGATCCATAAAACACGATTGCCAAAAATTACAGCAGCTTTCAGTAAGAAAGAAATCACTGGAGTGAATGGGTTGTGAACTACTGATTCAAACTTGAATGAGCGGTCGAACTAAAGCTTACAAACCTTACCTTCGTTCTCCACCGGCTTTTGTTTCCTCTGCGCCTGAAATCGGACAAGTCACGATTACAATCAGTCCATCAGTAGTTATCTCACCAGAGTAAGATAAAAATTATAAAAACAGTCAATATTTTACTCAGAGAAATTATTCTAGGAAGAAAGGAATCGGCACTTACCAAAGGAACGTCATCGTCTTCAGAAACCTCGTCAGTCGCCGACTGAAAGAAATATTGCTCTTAGCCACAAAGCCTCTTAGGAAGCGAGAAAAATCGACAGAGAACGTAGCAATATTCACAAAATATATCTTAACCAAAATATGTCAAAAGATTACTCTTACATGTTTTACTTGCGTGAGATGCTGGGTGGTTTCTCCGTTCATTCTGGACAAAAATTGATCGAAAATTTTTCTAAGTGTCGCTCTCGCACCAAAAGGTAAAGGACAAAGAAAAAGTTAAGTCTCCACTAACGGCTACTACGCAGGCGTGAGACCACGTGATCAAGTGACCTTACCGCCGGATCCGAAGGGAGCCCGGCCGGCCGGCCCCCGACAAGATACGTCGTTTTTGTCTACGGGTACGTGGTTGTACAGGGTAGGATATGCTGCCATGTAGTTAAATGAAAGGCAACCATAATTTCCCAGATGTAATAATGGCATTATAGTTCTACCCGGTAGCGTATCTGTTTCTCGGAAGCGTGAAGCCCTTTTCTTGAACGCCCCGCGCTAAGCGCTCAGCGGGGCATTCAAGAAAAGGGCCCCACGCTTCCGAGAAACAGATACGCTACCGGGTAGAACGATAATGCCATTATAAGCCCGGAAGGCCCAGGACAAGCGCCGTAAAAAAATTAACATAATCTAAATCGGGGTTTTCATTGTTTTTAAAATGACACAATAAAATTAACAGATAAAGAAACAAAATGGGCTTGTTAGGGAGCTAGAGTCCACCCTTTGTCAGATTTTGATTTTAAAATATGTGGCTTCGGGCTCGAAAAGTTCCGGCCGAGAATATTCGAGAAACGGACCCCAGAAGCCTGAACTCTGGCTCTTTTTTTGCCTCAAATTAATAACACTGCAAGTAGAAGAGTTTCATGTTTTTCATGAAACAGCTGAGAAAAAAAATTACACACCGGGCCCACTTAGTGCAATTTTCTTTTTTCCAGCAAAAGCCGAAAGAGAGATTGAGTTTGAGTTTCCCTCATTCAGTCATGTTTTTAAAACGTTTTCATGTTTTTTTGTTTATAAAATAGTGAAATAATTAAGAAACAGTTGTTGCAAACAAAACCGGAGGTTCTTTGGTGTATTGAAAGAAGAGTCCACAACCTGACCAAAAAGAGAAACCTTTGCCAAAGTTGATCGATAAAGCAAGTAAGCAAGTTTTATTTATCCACGCTCTCATTCATTACAGTCATGCTCTTCCACAGCTTCTAGAGAGCCGTGCAAAAAAGATTCAGTTATAATAAAATAAAAATCTACCGCCTAGATACAATTTGATAAACATGAAAGTGGGATTCCAACAATTTCCAGCCCGACCTCAGTCTGGCGGCTATACTTCAATACAAGAGGGGAACTTATGAAGAACTAATGAACCAGCGTTTTTCACGAAGAAGAGAGCGCACTACTGAACAGAGCCTCAACTCTTGGGGCTAAGGCTTAGTACATGAATAAGTTGGGATAATCAGGTGAGAGAATAGTCAAAAAGAAATATAAACGAAAGCACTGTGTGTTGTTGAGAATGACGACACCACCTGTTTCGAACAACATGACAACAGTAACAACTTGATTGAAATATCTGAATATTTTGCGCCCTGTTAAAGCTTCTTTGGCACCTCCTGAGAAGGAGCTAAAAACAGGGACAGGAGGATGACAGGGGACAGTCATGACAGGGGGCGACGGGGGCGTGTGAAGAGGAGTGTCATCGGCCGCTGACTGCAAATATCGCAGTCGTAGAAAATCAGGAGACATCAAAAGAGAAACAAAAGACCCGTTTGAGCCGTTCGGCTTGTAGCCGGCATCTCCAGGATGTTTTACCTTCAACTTTTAATTTTTTTGCTCAGCAACCTGACCATTGTGACTGCAAAAACTCCTGTTATTATTGGTAAGTTTTATGGCTATCATTAGTGTTACCTTCTCATTGTCTGTTGTTTTTCCGAGCTGTTGTTAGCTAAGCTATCTACATTCCGCGTACCTGTGATAATGAAGCAATGCAATCTGTTACAAAATGATTAAATATTTCTTTACAAAGCCAAACCACTACTGAAAGTTATGCCACCAAGATAATGTTCCATAGTTTTATTGAAAATAAGCCTCAAGAATGGTAGACAATCAGTATAAAACGTAAACATCAAGCTTGTGTAAACATTGGGTCATGAAATACCGGTAATTGATATTATGGTTAAGATTTGCATTGCATTTGCCACGTAAATTCACCTATTTCGTGCTTTTATGCATTTCTTTACTTAAAAGTAGTCTAAGCTGATGTAAAAAAATGCAGATGCTTTATAGCTACATGTATCAGACTAGCTGTCAACCTACATTGTAGCTATCAATCCTAATCTGGAGGGGGGAGGAGAGGTAAAGGCCGGGGATTTGACAAAGGAAGTCAGCCCGTGGTGGGGGACTTTTGATTATCACCAAGTCCTGGGGGTGGGGGCAATTGAATTTCATCTGATTACGGACACCATCTTGGATTGGAAGCTGTAAGAGACCTAGTTATATCACTAAGGATTGGTTTCAAAAGATGGCGGCCATTGTTCCCGTTAGGATATGTGGGTATTTTTTATGCATATTGTGCAAGATGGCAGCCGAGGAGAGCTTGACTTGGTTTATCCTCTCTATTCCTATTCAAATGAGTACATCCATTCATTTACATTATTGTTTTAGGAAGTTAAACTCTTATTCAGTACGACTGCATGATACAAATGTTTTGCCTGAGTTTGAAAGCAAGTAAATTTGCTTGTTTAACAGCTGCAAATTCATTAAACTGTGTAGGTGGAAAACATTCTTTCGTGATGTTTGTGATGTGACATTTCGCTGGAGCATTTTGACAACAACTGTTAAAATAAACAGATCCAGCTTTCTCAAAAAGTTTGTGGGTTTCTTCTTTCAATGAAACGCACTTGACCGCTAGTCTTAGTTGGAGGGGTCCAGGGAATTTGTTGTCTTTTGACCAAAAATGGCCCTGGGGTAGAACTGACCCAAAAATTTGCTTCAAGTTCAAATCCCCGGCCTTTTCCTGGCTTTCCCCTCCCTCCAGATTAACATTGATAGTTACATTATTACTCTTGAGATTTTGGAATGGAAGGCTCCAAAAACCTAGATATTCATATAGTCATAAAGAAATGTAATGCACCAATCAGAATTAGTCAGCAAGATAAGGATCATTGCTGATATTCTTCTGGTGACCAGTTATGTCAATCCTGTTTTGTAATGTCATATTAGAAAAAAGTTTAGGGTGGGGAAAAAGGGAAAAATTGGAGAGCAAGAGGGCTAGCTAGGGAGGGGGAAGGATGGTGGAGCCTGGAGAAAACCTCAGAAAACATGCATCATTCTGCAACACCAACACTGGTTTCCCTACAGAATGATGTCTGAGGAACAAGCTCAGAAAGACTACTGATGACACGTCACCTTCCAGGTCTTGCTTTTGATTGGTTGTTCCATGTGGGATATTTGGTTTAACCAATCAGAAGCACTACCCGGATCTGGGTAGTTACGAGTTATCAGTATGGAGTTTCGGCACTCGTTTCTTAGACCTCAGTTTCCAGTGAAACCAGTGGTGGTGTCACGAAATGTCCGCTGTTTTCTCAGGCTAGCCTGGAGACAGAGAGCTTTAGAATGGCTGTACCGCTGAGGACCAGCGAATAAAGACACAAACATACATAGTCATCACCGAGGGTCAAAGAACTCACCACATACCTCTTAACAAACTCTTAACTGAAAGCTTCTTGACTGAATGCTTACTGAAAGCATCTTTTTGTCAACTGTAGTCCCTGGAGATGGTGGAAGCCGGCTTGAAGCTCACATCCATAAACCATCAGTGCCACACTATTGGTGTGAAAAGACCTCAAGTTCATGGTTTGATTTATG